AGGGGTTGGCAAACTTTTGAGACAGAAGAGCCAATCCTGTCCCTCACAACAATTTAAAAATTATTCGAGAGCCATAAAACAAATGAAATCACCATTATGTGAATAATATCCTTTAAAAATTTTATAAATGAAACCATGATAGTTTTCTTTTCATTTTCAATTTCACTTCAGAGCCACATGTACGTACCCAAAGAGCCACATGTGGCTCGTGAGTGGTATAGTTTGCCAACCCCTGCTCTAGGCAGCCATTACATCAGACCTATTTGCTTTCCTGCTCTCTGGTTATCTACCCTCCATAGGGTGTAACTCCCACCACCTTCATTTTCTAGGATAACTGGGAAGGCTCACCCTGACACTGCTATTCTCCCCTCCTCCAGCAGCCACCCCAGCCCAGCCTTCTCACTGCAGCCACCCCTCTTCCCTGCTACAGTTCAGCCAACTGCAGAGTCAGCTGTACCTAGCACAGCAGGCTGCAGCTTGATTACAAAAATAGGGTGTCTCTAGGGGCTCTTAAGGTAATAGGCTTCTAGAATTTCTGTCCTCCTGATGCTCCTAAGGCACCAAACCACTTGGCTCTTGAGCCCAACAAAACCAAAGCTAGTCAGAATTATTCATCAAGATGTAACCAGTGAACAAAGGTTAACTTTCCTGGGACTGTCCATTTCTACCATTGTCCCTCCTTCTGGGTCTCAGATTTCTCCACTTTCTTTCTTCCACCTGGGTAGGAGATACTTCTTGTCCCAATACCACAAAACCTTACACGTTTGAAGTGGGAGGGATTCTAGAGATCAGCGGATCCACCCATCACTTTACAGTGGGGAAAGCTGAAACTTAGGCCCAGAGAAGGAGTGTGACCTGCCACAGTTACACATCAAGCTAGTATCAGGGCCAGGACAAGCACCTCGGGCTTGAGGCCCCTTAACACAAAAATGAGGACTGCTAGATTGCACTGCAGTGCCCAGGTCTGCCAGGTGCTGCCAGATTCCTGGCTGAGAGTATGAAAATGTGCTGGTCAGCCGTTGCCATGGGTTGACCTGAGCCCTGCTTACAGAGCGTGTACTAGCATGACTGGATGGGAAAAGATGCAAGAGATGGGAAAGAGGCAGGTGCACAGTAAAGGAAAATGAAACAATAAAAAAGATGGGACTAATCGGGGAAGGCTTCCTGCTGGAGGGAAGACTTAAACCCAAGATTTGAAAGAAGATAAACATGGATTAGCAGAAAGAAAGAGGGAGGGTGGTACAAGTGAGAGAAATATTTGTCTAGATTCATGTGAAGACTGATCTTGTCCTGTCCTATCTCCCAGAAGGCTATCAAAATACCTCCTCTACCAAATTCAGGCAAGGTGCCTTATTTAGAGAACGAAATATCCACATTCCAGTTCCCTCCAAGGTGTGGGGAGCTAACCCGGATTCCTTTGCCTACTTGTTTCCCTCTCTGGGAAGCAGTAGAAACTGCTGGGGCATTTGAAAGAGGGACAGAGCTGGAAGTTAGGAAAGGGTATACCTAACATTTCTCCAGAGCTCTGAGTTCTCGACCAGACTTCCTGGCACAAGAAAGCAAGGCCATGTCAGCATTGTGCCTAGAGCTGAGTCCTGGAATGCGAAAGGAATGTCCCTTATCATATAACAAAGCAAACACCACCCTCCCTAAGACCACCTCCACTCCCCTGTCATGCCCCACTGGGCATTCTCTGCCACCCCATCTTCTGGGAGCCGGGGCTATTCCCACCTTCTTGTTCTAAACTCCTGCCCCAACTCAGATCTCTCTCTCCCTCCCAACATGAGCAGCAAACCTACCTTCAAAGCTGTGAAGATTGGCCCCGACCAAGATCTGGATGTTGTTGAAATCACAGCAAATAGCCAGGAGCTTCAGGTGCGAAACCCAAGTGGGTAAGTGAAAGGACACCCCTGGCCCACAGAGGGTCACACATCAGTGCTGCAGCCGGCCCACCCTTGAACAGACGCAGCAAGGAGAATGTAAGCCAGACAACAGGAAGAACTCCTGCCCAGGCAGATTGTTAGATAGCAAGAGCTAGAGAATCACATTTCTGAGAGATTTTCTGTGTTGAGTCTTTAAAAAAAAAAATACAGTGGACAGCTGAACAAAGTGTGCTGTCCACACCTTGGTGGCCTTTTCATCAGTCAAATAGCAAAACAAATTGGTTTTTTCCTACTGCTTTATGTTTCCTATTAAGCCCAACAGGCAATACTCTAAAGGTGACTTTGTCCTTCCCTGTCACTCACCCAGGTCAGAGAAAGACCTCTCCACATTCCCAGCTCTCCAGAGCAGAGACTGCTTGGCATTTGTCAATGGCCTATTCCTATGCCTCACTACCCTGCATCAGAGCATGAATCAAAATGAAAACTATCACCAGCAGCAGAGTGGCTCAAAAAGGATGCTGGCCTCTTAGCATTCAAGGATGTTGCTGAGTGCTGCTTATTTATTAAAGACTAAATCTTGAAAAGGACAAGATAGGAGCAGAATGTTCGTTTACCTGAAAACCCATTGAAGTCCCATTCTTCTTCTGTTTAGAAAACCCACAGAGCAGCAGACATCTCAGGATGCCAAGAGCCTGGCTTGGCAGGGCTCAGCACCCTGTAGACACTTACCAGTGGTGGTGTTAAATCTAACCAAATTAAATCGAATTGAACTGTGTGGCAATGCAGTTTCTACACAGTCCCCCATTATACAGGTTCCATATTTCCCAGGTATTTGGGAGGAGATTTGCATCAATAGTGCCAACTAAAGGAGAGGCAGAAACCACAGGGCCCCTATGTCTCCCTTCCAGACCCTGTCTCTCAGGCACCCTGGTTTCCCTGCACTGCCTTGGTGAGTACGCCCCATCTCTGAGGGTTCGGGTCCTGGGCCAGCAATGATCAGGGAGGAATACCTTCACTCTCATTCCTAAATCCCTCAGACTCTAAGTTTCACTGTGTTTTGTCCCAACCTTACTTCTTTGGGCCTTGGGGTTTTTTTGTTTGTTTGTTTGTTTGTTTGTTTTTTAAACCCATGGCAACCCACTGCCACAGGGGCTGCAGCCTACGCAGCCCAGCTCCAGGGTGAGCTGCTGTTCAGCATCCTAGCTGTGGAGGGCAGTGTCACTGGCCCTCATATGTGGGATCCGAACCGGGATCCTCCGGCGTCCCAAGCCACTTCCCAACCATTGCGCCACTCGGCCAGCCCTGGGCCTTGGGTTTTGTAGGTCAAGACTCCTTTGAGTGGTTGACGTTAAGAACTCCCTCCTACTACCCACACACTGCCCCACAACCTGAGCAGAGACCTGGGAGAGAGGGTAGGAAAACTGGAAAGGGCAAGACTGGGCCTCCATCCTTCTCCCACCCCCCACCCCTTGCCCCCCAGTCAGGGCCCACGTAACTTTTTTTGTCACAATCACCACAATTATCCACATTCAGTTTAGCAAAGATTCATTGAATAGTTAGAATGTGTCTAGTGCTGTGAGGTGCTAGTTGGAATTAGAAAATACCAGACAAGTAAAAGAATTGGCCTCTATCCTCAGGAGCTTATAACTGAGATAAGAGAGAGATGCAAGGCCACATGTGAAATGTACCAAACTGAGTAGTAGTCACAGTTGACATGCTGCAGAGAGAGCTGCACAGGAAGTCAGGAGACCTGGACACCAGTCCCACTGGCTTCCAAGGTGACCTTGAGTAATTCACCGGACCTCTCTGAGGTTCACCTTTCCAAGAAGCCCTTTAGTCCAGCTGCCCAAGAGGTTTCTAGGAGACCCCCTAATGCTAACTGAGGAGATCAGAAGAGAAAAACAGCACTGTGGACCAGCTCACCCTACCAGCCTCATGGGAGAAGACCTGAACAGGGCCCAGAAGGGTGGCCAGAAACTAGACAGCCTAAGAGGAAGGTCATCGTCACTGCCTTTGCAGTTTAGCAGTGTATATGCTTCCTTATTTGGATGTTAAGCCTTTTAGTCGTTATCATCTGACCCCCACAATACCCAGTATGTGGGGGCTGACACATGGTAACGAGTGAATGAATGAATGGTCACAGTACCTGATGTGCTGCACTGAATAGCACTGAAGTCACAAAGAGGTTTAAGTCATAGACCCTCCCTTAAGGAGTCTTAGGCCTCACTGAGAAGACATGGCTGATGTGTGACAACAATGAAAGGCTGGCCAACACCCAGGGCAGGCTATGGAAATTCTAGAGAGGGGAATTACCAAAGATTGGGTGGCCAGGAGGTGGTGCCCAGGCCAAACACTGAAGAATAAATTGTAGGCTCCAGGAGGGAAAAGGCTATGCCTGTCTGTCTTATTCACCACTTTCTTCCTAGCATCCCTGAGACACATTAGGAACTCAGTACAAATTTGCTGAATGAATCAATGATTTAGAGCAAAAACAATGACCTTTTAGAGAGCTACAAGCAGATCAATTTGGCTAGATGGAAACTTTATGTAAGGGCAGCAGGAGGCTGCCAGGAAGAGTTTAAACTCGACCCCACAAACAAAGAGAGATGCTGAGGGGCTTTGAGTGAGTGAGTGAGGTGACATTTATTGGGTTGTCAAAAAAGTCATGATGTATTTTTTCTGTTTTTCATTGCAAAAATGCGTCATGACTTTTCCAACAACCCAATACAAAACACTGTTTGGAATCAGATGGTGTTTGAAAAGCCCCTGGCTAGCATAGGCCCAAAAAGTGTGTAGACTTTCTCCTTTAGAAACCATTGTGGCCGTGACTGCCAGAGAATTGGAGAGGCTGATAACAGCAGGAAGGTGGAACTGGAGGTTTTTATAAGAGTTCAAGGGTCACATATGAAAGCTGGGACAGTGGGATGTCAAAGAGAGAATAGGATGTCAAATTGACAGACTCACTCAGCAGGGAGGGAAGGGACTTGAAGAAAAGTGAGTTTAGGATGGGAAGACCCAGTTTCTAAAACTTTCTTCCCACTTCCAGCTCCCAAAGCAGCCTGTAGACATCTGTTTACTGTTATTCAATGGGAATGGTTTGGGGACGTTCTATCTGGGAAGGACTTTCATAATTCTGCTTCACTGTTTAGTTTGGGGTCATAAATTCCCAGCATAGTGGACACACCCATGTTTACCGTATCATCCCCTAAGCACATCCCAAGCCAGAAAAAAAAAAGCAGAAGGAGACTGAGGGAAAGCCTGTGGTCTCGGACATTCAATTATCTCCCCATGAATCTTTCAAAATTGGCCTGGCCCTCTTCACCACCACCATCCCAGGTCCCAGTCATAACAGCCTGCTCAGGATAGACTTTGGGCTCTAAGGAGAGGCAACTCCCTCTCCCAAGAGCCTGACACCTGCTTTCTCTCTCCTTCCTGCTGAGTCCAGCCTGTGGGGAGAGCCTGAAGGCCCCGCGGGTGGTGGGCGGGCAGAAGGCCTCTGTGGATGCTTGGCCTTGGCAGGTCAGCATCCAGTACAACAAGCAACACATCTGTGGAGGGAGTATCCTGGACCCCCACTGGATCCTCACAGCAGCTCACTGCTTCAGGTAAGGCCCATGCTGCGAGAAGGCATTGCGAGAGCGATCAAATCCATGGAGGGGCCTGAGTACCTAGGTCCCCGGTCTCCTGACTTGTGTTCTGATATCCTCACTCTCCTTTACTCACCCCCTAAAGACCACGCACCAGGGTGTTTCCACCCCCATGAGATGCTGGACATGATGTCCCTTGTTAGGCATTGGGGGTCTGTGCAGAGGGTGGTGGTCACCAAGTTTGACCTCTTCTAGGTAGGAAGCTATCAGATACCCAGTGTCCTCAGTCCACCCCCATGTTATTCATGCCACGAAAGCTCTTCCCAATCTATCTGGAGCTCCAATAACTCTCTCCCTCTTTGCTAGTCTTCTAGGAAGTGGTTCTAGGGTCTAGAAATACTGCCGCTCCTTTGCTACGTCCAGAAACTTTTTTAAAAGTATAGATTTTCTTAAAGCCTAGCAGAGAGAGGCCTGCCCACCCCTCTGGGGATTGATCATTCCCAGGCTTTCTTGACTTTCGTTCATTCAACATCTGATGAGTACCTACTAGGTAACAAGCATTATGTGTCCACATGCATTAGGCCCCATTACTGCCTTAGAGAAACTCACAGTCTTGGCCAGTGATTCTTAACCTTTTTTTGAGAATTTGACAAAAGCTATAAATTCTTTCCTGGAAGATCACCCCTGAACACTAAGCCGTATCTGGGGTTGGGAGGAAGAAAGACAAGCACATAACATAACTGACCACGATATAAGTACCACATGAGTAACAGTGATAATGAAAAGCCTTGGAGGAGACAGTGCCAGGGTCCCAGAGCTCAGGCGCCGGCAACAGTCGCTTCCCCAGCCCTCCAGTTAGTTTTCTTGGGCAGGTTTCACTGGGGAAAAAAGATCAAATTCTTTTTCAGAATTTGGCCTGTGGGAGGTGATTTCTCAGACTGCCCCTTCTCCACCACCCCTGCCTCCACCATCATTACCTCCTAAGGCAGAAACCCATCCTTTGACAAAGCCTCCTCATGCATGGCTTACGCCTGAACTCCACTGTCTCTACCCTCAGGAAGTATCTAGACGTGTCCAACTGGAAAGTGAGGGCCGGCTCAAACAAATTGGGCAGCTTCCCATCCACGCCTGTGGCCAAGATCCTTGTCACTGAGCTCAACACCACGTACCCCAAAGAGAAGGACATTGCCCTCGTGAAGCTGCAGTACCCACTCACATTCTCAGGTGAGAGGTGGCACCTGGGAACAGAGCCCCTGAGGTCAGGTTATACTCTCACTCTGTCACTAGCCCACTAAGTGGCCTTGGGCTCATCGCGTCTCCTCTCAAGACCTCAGCTGCCCATTTGTTTCCAACAAATATATTATCAGCCTGACATCATGAGGCTGCCTCAAGCTGTCAGAGCTTCTTCCGAGATCTGTTTTCTCCATGTGGAGTACCTCAAGTGAGGATCATAGATTCATCCAGCCTTGGAGTTGTGAGATCATCTAGTCAATCCTCCAACCCCGACCAATGCAAAAAGCCCACACAATATCCCTGCCAAGAGGCCATTTGCTCTCCTCCAGGGACAAGGAACTCATCACTGTTAAGGCAGCCCATAAAACCTTTGAATAGCTCTGTTAGATGACTCATGCTTATATTGGATGGTATTTAGATCAGCAATGTTCCATAGGACATTGGTCCTTTGTGGGAAAGAGGATTCTATTATCAAATAAGTTTGGGAAACATATTTATACTTTAGCTCTCTTCCTGGAGCACATTAGTATATTAAAGATATAAGAAATTTTAAAACATATTTTTAAATAATGTTTTACTGTGTTTATCCCACATTGTCTTTTTCTTTCTTTTTAACTACAGTTGACATTCAATATTAGATTAGATTAGATTCAGGTATACAGCATAGTGGTTAGACATTTATGTAATTTATGAAGTGATCCTCCTGTTAAGTCTAGTACCCATCTGACACCACACATAGTTATTATAATACTATTGACTATATTCCCTATGCTGCACTTTGCATCTTTGTGATTATTTTGTAACTACCAATTTGTATTTCTTAATCCCGTCACCTTCTACATTCAGCCCCGCAACCCCAATCCCATCTGGCAACCATCAGTTTGTTTTCTGTATCTATGGATCTATTTCTATTTTGTTTGTTCACTTATTTTGTTCTTTAGATTCCACATATGTGAGGTCATATGGCATTTGTCTTTCTCTGTCTGACTTATTTCTCTTAGCAAAATAACCTCTAAGTTCATCCACATTGTCACAAATAGTAAGATTCCATTCTTTTTTATGGCTGAGTGTATATGTACCACCTCTTCTTTAGCCAATTGTCTACTGATGAGCACTTAGGTTGCTTCCATATCTTGGCTATTGTAAATAATACTACAATGAATATATGCATACATATATCTTTTCAAATTAGTGTTTTGGATTTCTCTGGATAAATACCCAGAAGTGGAATTGATGGAGCATATGCTAGTTCTAGTTTTAATTTTTTGAGGAACCGCCATACTGTTTTCCATATTGGCTGCACCAATTTGAAATCCCATTAACAGTGCACAGGGCTCCCTTCGCTCCACATCCTTGTCAATACTTGTTGTTTGTTGATTTACTGATGACAGTCATTCTGACAGGTGTGAGGTATACCTCATTGTGGTTTTAATTTGCATTTCTCTGATGATTAGTAACTTTAAGCATCTTTTCATATGTCTATTGACCATCTGTATGTCCTCTTTGGAGAAATGTTTATTCAGGTCCTCTGCCTATTTTTAAGTTGGGTTGTTTGGGTTTTTTGGTGTCAAGTTGTATAAGTTCTTTATAAATTTTGGATATTAATGCCTTATCAGATGTATCATTGGCAAATATATTCTCCCATTCAATAGGCTGTCTTTTTATTTTATTGATGGTTTCCTTTGCTGTGCAAAAACTTTTTAGTTTAATGTATGTCCATTTGTTTATTTTTTTTCTTTTGTTTCCCTTACCCAAGGAGATCGATCAGAAAAAGTATTACTGAGAGCAATGTCAAAGAGTCCACTGCCTATGTTTTCTTCTAGGAATTTTATGGTTGAGGGTCTTACATTTATGTCTTTAATCCATTTTGAATTTATTCTTGTATATGGTATAAGAAGGTGGTCTAGTTTAATTTTTTTGCATGTATCTGTTTAATTTTTCCAACACCATTTGTGGAAACATTCTTGCTTCCTTTTTCATAGATCAATTGACCATATAGGTGTTGGTTTATTTCTGGGCTCTGTATTCCATTCCATTGACCTATGTGCCTGTTTTTATGCCAGTACCATGCTGTTTTGATTACTATATAGCCTAGTAGTATAGTTTGATATCAGGTAGTATGATACCTTCAACTTTGTTCTTTCTCAAGATTACTGTGGCTATTTTATGGTTCCATATAAATTTTAGGATTATTTGTTCTAGTTCTATGAAAAATGCCATTGGTATTTTGATAGTGATTGCACTGAATCTATAGACTGCTTGAGGTAGTATGCACATTTTAACTATATTAATTATTCTTATCTATGAGCACAGCATATCGAGGTCTGACAATTAAGTTTGCAAACTCATCCTAGAAAAAGTGCTACGTACCTAATTCCTGAATATCACTATGGTCACCTTTGAAGTACTCACCTTGGGAAGCTATGCACCGATGCCAGTGCCTAGTCCACCCTTCTAAGCAATTTTGGAAGTCTTTTTCTGGAATGAGCATCAAAGCTGTTGTATTACCCTCGATGTCCT